GGGATGGGGAGGTAGTATGCTGGAGAGTAGCAAAGGAGAGAGAATTGACCCTGGGACAAATGAATAAGTCTCCAAATATAGGTCTGGGAGGCTGTGTTTTGGGCAAGTAGGATGGACAGAGTTGGAGAGCTCCAACACCAGGTCAGTAGCAGACACAAGCACTGTCCCGAGGTCCCAAGGCTTCGTGCATTAGTAGACAGTATATATGCCTAGCTCAATCTCGTGGCTTCCTCACCTCATTGTTTTGATGAGGCTTGCTTAGGGAAGACCCAACAACTTGAGAGCCAGAGGTGTGTTCTATTCATCTCTGATCCCTCAGCACCCAGCATGGGGTGCTGGCCCACAGCAAGGGCCTGCCAAAGGTCTGCTGAATTAAATCAAAGTGGAGAGGGAAGCAAAGAATAAATCTAAATATTATGCTTCTCTCTGTCAAGTTCAAAAACCTTCCATAGAGGTTAACAACCCAGATGAAGGCAGCAGTTGGCCGTTAGCTTAACAAACCTACCATTGGGCCATCAACACAGGTACAACCTCAGGTTGTCTACATTCTGCCTAAAGACTCAATGCCAGAAAATCACTGCAGCAGGGAGGGCCATGGATTATCTGTTTCCATCTTGACTCCAGAGGAGGTGTGTGGACACTACCCCCTCCCTCCCTCCTTCCCTCACCTTGTTGCTGATACCCATTTTGTGCCTACACACACGAATACCCTTGTATGGCCACAGAGACAGAGGTTCACCTGAACTGCCATACAGCAGTCTGAAGAGCAGAGCCATTTCTTGTTTCCTCTAGCAATGAAACCAAGGTAACAGGGACATTCATGCAGAATGGAAACCTCAGATTTCAACTGGTCCTGTTACAAAAGTCCTGCATTGCCATTGCTATTTAAGTCGTCCCCCTCCTCAACCCCACCTCACTCCCGCACACACAAAATGGTCTGCTGAGTGACTCCATGACCACTGGCAGTCTCAGGAAGTGCCTTCTCTTGGGATTACGCTAACCTACCCAGTAAGCTAAGAAGATGCTCTCTATTCATTGTTAGCACTTATGTAAAAGCCCACAGGGTGGGCCCTGACTCACCAAGGGAAGCCAGTTGCTTGGTCCAGAAGTTAGGCTCCCAGGTGAATCTGATACTCCAAGGGGAGCCAGGATCTGTGTTACAGTTTGTCTCCAGCAATCGCTGCATCTGAAACACAATCTGACAACAGAGCCAAAGGTCATTTCTTTGGGCATCTTGCACCTGAATGACAACTCCCTCTCCCTCACTCTTCGACAGGGTGAAGGGCTCAAAGCCATAGGTCTTTAGCCTCAGGTCCCCCATACACTCACTTCCTTGCACCTTGGTATCTTCACATCCCTTCCCCTGACCTTGTCCCCTCCCTGCCCCTACCAGCTCATGCCCTTCCTCTTATCCAGGTTTCCTGATCCCCTATACTTTTATCTTTCAGGCCTTGAATGGTCTATAATTCTCCCTCAGACATCACCTGCCTGGCAGCCCTCTCAAGGGTTGCATTCATTCTTCCATAACCTTGATTTGAAAGCCTACAAAGGCAGATATTCTCTGAGCTCCCACTGCTGTCCTTCCATCCATATGTAACACCCCATCCTAACAACTGCCCTCTTCCTCCCTCATCACTTCCATCTATCCCCTATCATGAACTTTTCCATTTATCCAGGATTTTGGCAAGTGTCCAACTCACCCTTGCCATCATCTAGTTAACCAATGCCTCAGTCAGCATCTTGGCCTCTTCCTTCCTCTCTTTCGTGTCAATCACCTTCACCCCTCTTTTCAGGTCAGCCACCTGACCCAGACCTTTTCATCTTCTAGAGACCTTCATCTCTAGCAACTGGCCCCTGCTTTAACTAGCTCTCACTCTTTCTGAGCATGCTTGCTCCTCAACCTTACCGAACTCCCCAAGCCCTGTGCCATTGGTCCCTAGGGCCATTCCAGCTTCCCATCATTTTCAGTAACAGTATCACTAGCGCTTAACTCCCTCTGCATCACCACAGTCTATTAGCCTTACGTCGATTCAGACATCCCAAAGCCATGTTATCTAACCTCGGGGTTAGATCACTAACCTCGGGGGCACCCTATAGTCCTTTTTCTTATCACTTCTTGTTGGCTTCCTCTTCCACTGTCCTCGATGACTATCTAAAGTCCACACTTCTCTCCTCAATTCTACTTACCCAGTGCCTAATTCTCCTATTATCACCTCCTACTTCAGAAAGGACAAGAGACACAAAAGACAAACTTCCCCAAACTGGTACCATATGTACCTCCAACCTTAACTACAATATACTGAGACCTTCCTGTTCTTCCTTCTCAGAGGGGTGCCCCTTCCATTTAGGGTCCACTGGTTCACTCTAGGTCCTATTTCTTCCTGCCTTCTCAAGATGCTCACTCCACCACACATCTCCTTTCTCAATCATCAACCTCTTCTCCCAAAGAAACTTGCACAAATGCCTTCCACATTAAAAAAAAAAAAAA